CGAGTGGAACGGCAGAGAGCTGCTGCGGCCAATCACAGGTGGCTGCGGAGGGTGCAGCGGAAGAGGGGACAGATTGTGCCACATAAGGTGGTGGAGGTGGGGAGGAGAAAGGAGGAGGAAAGTGGGGTTGCCTGATTGACAATGAATCGAGAAGACTAGGTTGGTTTTGATGAGAAGGGGGCGTTTGCATTTGGATAGACAAAGGTTAGGGTTGGGTAGAAGGAATGGAAATTTTGTTGTGAGATATGCTAGGCTGGAAAGAAGGCAAATGAATTGCTGTAAACTTCTAAGTACTGCCTTCAATTAAACGTCCTGGAGCTCGTCTAAGAGCATGGCATGCTTTTGCCCCATAACCTCCTCTTAAAAAAACTGCAAGTTTGAGTTGCAGGTTCGTTCGTTCTACACCCAAACCTCCAAATTAGATTCATGTCTATAATGGGTTCCGTTAGAGGATATCGAGATTCTGGAGTTCTCAATGTTGCGTCTGTTACACTCGCAGCATTCTTGCTTAGCGCCAATTCGCATATATTCTAACCTTATAAAAATCCCTACTAGCCTCTTCGTCTCTCTGGTAAAACCCGCTCACAGCCCCACTAAGTGCTCACATAGCTAGCACCTAAGATCGTCGTTTTTCAACGCACCCGATCTGGTCTGACGATCTCGGCTCTCCGCTTCTTGTTGGTCGCCGTTTGTCACTCTGCTGTTCTTCATTTAGGACTGTCCTAACAGGGTTGTAGCTGCTTTATTCTAGTACGACCTTGTCAGCCATCTGCCTGTGAACGTGGTCAGCAGGTAGCGCTGTTCTATTTCCTTGCGTTCAGCTTCTATCGGGGACAGGCCGGTCATCAAGGATTAGGCAGTGCGAAGCGGACCAGAGGTAGTCATTTTCTGGAACAACGAAAAGCCATTAACTGCAGAATCTGTGTAATTAACTGGTTCACCATCCGCGGAATCTGTGTAACTTCTCCTCCTTTTCACGTTCTTTAGGAGTAAGAAGAGCTAGTCACACTGACAGGGTAGGTCACGCGGAAGCAATGGCGAAGCATCATCCGGATTTGATCATGTGTCGGAAACAGCCGGGAATTGCCATCGGTCGCCTGTGCGAAAAATGCGACGGGAAGTGCGTCGTGTGCGACTCGTACGTGCGACCGTGCACACTTGTGCGGATATGCGACGAGTGCAACTATGGGTCTTACCAGGTGAGTACGAATTTCCCCCCCTTTTTCGTTCACATACGAATTGAACCTGGAGCGGCATACGTTTTGATTGATTTCGAGAACCCTGTTTGGAAAGTTATTCTGTTGCTGATAATAATGTGTGACATCAATTCGTGGTGAGTAAGGTTCCGGCTTTTCCCTCTCTTTCTACCCCACCCTCCCATCTCCCCTCTTCCCTCTCCCCACTCCCCCCTCGCAACCATCTCGTCCTTCCCCTTTTCATCCCGGTTGATGGAGGGAGTGGCATACCGTATCAGGGATTTATCTCATATTCCTGCTTCCATGTTTCTCCCATCCCTCCCTCTCCTTGCTTCTCCTCTTGGTGTAGGTCATTTATGGAGGCTAGGGCATACCGGGATGGGTGTACTACTATTGCAAGGAGATCAATCCACCACATTGGTTTTTTCACCCTGATCCTACTCCTCTTTCCTGTGGTTGATCCAGGTTCCGAGTGTGATATGTGGAGGGCAGGGCATATCACACGCATATTATTGCAATGAGTGCACACGCCAGGACAATAAGCAACTGCGCCTTGCTTTCCCTCTCTTCCCCGTCGGTAAACCATTCTATTCCGTTTGTCCCCCCTTTCCCATTCTCTCCATTGGTTGATTCAGGGTCGGTGTGTGATATGTGGAGGGCAGGGCATATCAGATGCATATTACTGCAAGGAGTGCACTCAGCAGGAGAAGGATCGAGACGGTTGTCCTAAGATCATCAACTTAGGAAGTGCTAGAACAGACCTGTTTTATGAAAGGAAAAAGTATGGCTTCAAACAGAGGGCATAAATTTGTCCATTATACCTACTTACATGCTAAGTATCTTATGCCAAAGCTTCCAGCAATTCCAAATTTCCTCATTTGAAGCCTTTGGTTCCCCTTCAGGAATCTATTATTGATTATACAAACTACAAACAATGAGGGGCCTCCTTGTATGGGATCCAGTACAGTACAAATGAGCAAGTTTCAGAAATACTGGCTTTCACGAGCTGAGCAATGCAACTTTAAACCATATCCGTGGATGTGCTGAGGATGTCGTCCCAATCAATCATGAGTTACTGAAAAGGAGTGTGTAATCAGAGGGTTGGGGGAAGTGCAAGAGGGGTTCAGGAATGTAGCAATGACAGAACCAGGATTTGAACGGCAAGATAATCAGCACAAGTGGCAAACAAAAGGCCAAGGGTATAATTCTCATGGTTTTGCTTGTAGAAGCCTGCACAGAACTAGCAAACGGGCATAGAAGCACATGTGAGCAAGCGTGCCATGAACTCACATGGCTGGCAGCAGAGCTAGTTCCAGTCGATGCTGCTGCTGCTACTGCGGGAGCATACCCCTCCCTGTGCCCATCCCCATCTACCACAGCATGACTATGCCCATGCCCATGAACACGCCCGTGCCCATACCCATACCCATACCCATGCCCATACCCATACCCATGCCCATACCCATACCCATACCCATACCCATACCCATACCCATACCCATACCCATGACCATGTTTAGATGACTCAAGAGCATGCCATCAACTCACATGGCTGGCAGCAGAGCTAAATCCAATCGCTGCCGCTGCAGAAGCATGTCCTTCCCCATGTGCCTCGGCATGCCCATGCCCATGCCCATGCCCATGCCCATGCCCATGCCCATGACCATGACCATGACCATGACTATGAGTAGACTCAAGAGCATGCCATCAACTCACATGGCTGGCAGCAGAGCTTGCCGCCGCTGCTGCTGCAGGAGCATGTCCCTCCCCATGTGCCTCAGAAAGCCCATGTCCATGACCGTGCCCATGTCCGTGACCATGACCCTCCCACGGGTGGCGCCAGCCCTGCGGACGGAATGGAATTTTGTACACAAAGGGTAAAATAAAACCCATGCAACAATCTGTTACACAGATGGACGAGAGGCATGGGGCATGAAGCGATGGAGGAGAGGGGGTTGACTTGGTAACAGGATCAAACCAAAGTATCCGAATAATTCGGAAGGTGGGAGTGGGGTAGGTCAGAGGGGGGAGTGGGGGGAGCTTGGCTTACCAGCACTACTGGGCCGTCCTCCTTGGCACGGTAGAGAATCCAGAACCTGCACAAACAGCAGAGACACACACATGGGACGACAGTAACTTTTCAGTCGACTCAAAGGTCTACTGGCCCATCCTCCTTGGCGCGGTAGAGAATCCAAAACCTGCACAAACAGCAGAGAGACACATGGGATGACAGTAAAATTTTAGTCGACTCAAACGTCTAGGGGCCCTTCCTCCTTGGCGCGGTACAGAATCCAGAACCTGCACAAACGGCAGGGACACACATATGGGACGGAGTAACTTTTTAGTCGACTCAAACGTCTACTGTCCCTTCCTCCTTGGCGCGGTAGAGAATCCAGAACCTGCACACATGGCAGTCATACACATGTAGTGTCAAAACTGCTTGCTGGATACTGACTCGTGAGTGTAGATAGTTTCTGTTGCAAAGAATCCGGAAAAGGTCCACAGGTGCAACGAAAAGAGAGTTGCCATTATCTAATAATATTCGTGATTGCATTCAGCCATCGGACAGGGGTAACAGACGGACTACCAGAATTGGTTACCGTACAGGGTTACCAGAAATGGTTACTAAACGAGTGCTGACATGAATCGTAGAAATGGTTACCAGAAGGGGGTACCAGAAATGGCTAAAGTAAAGAGTTACCGAAAGGGTTACTGTCCGGGGTCACCAGACATGGTTATTGGACAAGAATAACAACCAGAGTTCCCAGATTGGGAGTGCTGAATCAAGTCGTACCACATCATCGCGCACATGCCGGTGCCGACGACCAGAGAGAGTTACAAGACATGGTTACCATACGGGGCTATCAGACAGGGTTACCAGACAGCGAGAGCTGAGATCAAGCCGTACCACATCATCGCGCACATGCCGGTACCGACGACCTTATGCCAGCGCGCCGCGAGGTGCAGCGTCAGGCCGCCATGGGTGATACCGTGTCCGTTGCCGTGCCCTCCCGCCATGATCGCGGGTAGGAAATACGCTTCAGTTGGAATCGAAGTCGAATCGCGAAAGGACGGCGATCCCGCGCAGTCAATGCACTCGATCGCAAAGCTCTCGGATCACGGTACTTGCGAAGATTTGCGAGTCGAGTGGATGCTGAAGCCGCGAATCGCGGTGCTGTATGATGTGGAATGGCGAAAGTGGAAGTGGTGGATGGCGGTGGTGATGGTAGCGGAGACGGTAGGGTTCTTGGGAGGAGCAGCTCTCAATCCAAAACGTATCCGTAACAAGCTTTACTCGTTTGCCGCTAGAGTGGAATTGTGATATTCCACGAACAAGTCCTTCAAACCACGCATCATGAGGAACATTTGTAGCACGATACTTGTGTCGCATAGATCGTCTTTGGTACAAGATGGAACACTTTTCCAGCCCTCAATTTCCATATCGACAATCGACAATTGGGCCGCTACGATGCCTGCCCCGCACTTCGTGTCAGATTGACCTTTCAACTAGCTCTGCAGAAGAGACGGAATCCTTCCTGAAGAGCAATTTTGAAGTGTGAAATAGATGCTGGCAGAGCGGACCAGCAACAACCTGGCAAGAGCGAAATCTCGAAACCCCAGCTTCTGCTGCGGGTGAATGTCACAGGTCATTGTCAGTCAATCAGGATACGACAATTTCAGAGATTATAACTCGGGAGTCCAGTTTCAGAGGGCTTCCACTTGAGACGCAACGTCGTAGCAGTGACTGCACACTGTGCTTTTTTGCAATTTAATTTTACCTGGTAATTGCCAGGTCCGGAAACCATGTCTCGAGCTGTTTACTGCGGGAACTTCGAGTATGAGGCTCGGCAGTCGGAGATCGAGCGGCTGTTCGACCGTTACGGTCGGATCTCTCGGGTGGACATGAAGACTGGTATGATAATCTATTTTCCTGCTCTCATATAATTTTCAGCACCACTCACGGAAGAGTTTGTTTGAGACTCAGAGTTAAATTGCAGGTTCATGGGAACAACGAACCGGACACGCGTCTGGACATTGCCTATACCCAGCAGTTAGCAGTTCCTGCTGACAACATTAATTTGCGAACACACAACATGAGACGTCCGACACATGCCATCGCAGCAAGTACAACGTGATGAGCCATCTCAGCTTCCGGCTCTGGATGCTCTTCGCGCGCTGGATGCACGCTCGCTCTTGCACAAGCCGGCGACAAAGTCCAGTCTAGACAACAATGGCGCCAGCACCCCGCTGCTCGTCTACTTGTCCATCCAATTCAAGCTTTCTCAACTCAACTCGTTATGACAACCGGCATCTCGTTCAAATTCCAACCTAGACAGAGGACAGAGATGACCAGAGCCTGTCATCGTTCACACGGTCAACTAGCACATCTGTCCTATACCGGGTGTGCGAACTGCCTATATTATTCACGTGTTCTTTCTTGCGTGTCGTCTATTTGTTTTTTCCGCAGCAGTTTCTCGTGTCGGTTCGTATACTGCTGCTTCCAACATCCTAATCTGTGCAATCCAAATGTTCCTAATTACCATATGTTCTTCTTCCTTGGTTTTCTTCCTGTTCCTTGACACCTGTCACGCAGGTTTCGCGTTTGTTTACATGGATGACGAGCGCGACGGTGATGATGCCATTCGGGCTTTAGACGGTATGGAGTTCGGTAGGCAGCGCCGTCGTCTTCGCGTTGAATGGGCAAGGGTGAGCATGGACGTTTTGCTTGCCTGTGAATTTCCTCCCCGCCAGCTGTCCTTTTTTTCGTTCTTTTACTAGAAGTTTTAATGTGGACTTGTTGTCGCTTCTTCTTGGCAGGGTGAAGGCCCAGTGAAGCAAAGGGAGGTAGAGCGTAGGAACTCCAAGCTTTGAAAACCCTGTTTGTTGTGAATTTTGACCCCATTAATACCCGAACACGGGACTTGGAGAGGCATTTCGAACCATATGGCAAACTGGTTCGAGTCCAGATTCGCAAGAACTTCGCGTTTGTGCAATATGAGACGATTGAGGAGGCTGAAGCAGCAGTTAAAGGGACTGATGGAAGGTATGTCTCACCATATCCCTGCAGAAGCCATGTGTTCTCCATTCCTCTGCGTTTCCTCTACTCCATGTGGTTCATTCATACTGTTGGTCTGCGCTTTCTTGCCAATACTTACCATCTTTCAAAATTCTTGTGGTGCAGCTCGGTTGATGGTCGCCAAATTACTGTAGAATTTGCTGCCAGAGAGGACAGCTTTGACGATGACAGGCCTGCGCGCCGTGGCAGCCCTGACTATGGCAGGCGCAGGGGCAGCCCAGAGTATGGGCGCTATGGAAGGTGTGTAAAGCTGCTGACATGTGTAAATTTTGTCTAGCGCGGGGTTTACTGAAGGAGCCAAAATGCTTATTTGCACGTGTGGGTGTGCTTATGTTCACCCCCCTGCGCAATGTGCTGCATTTTGTGTGTTGGTTTGCAGCCGTTCACCACCCCGCCGTGGTCGCAGCCGCACTCCCAGCAGAAGCCGCAGCAGGAGCCGAAGCGCTAGCAGGTCCCCTCGTCGTTCTCGCTCACCTCGTCGTTCTCGCTCACCCCGTCGCTGATGGGTATGCCCTGGCCAGCGGACTTGAAAGTGGTCCCTTAATAGTGCCGATATTACACTCGCTAGTTAGTTTCTTTCTACCATAGTTGTGTTGTGTCCTTGTTACAAGGCTAACTTCTATATTGGCGGTCTTCACTCTACCCGAGAATTGAGGTTTATATAGGCCAAATGATCTAGGTTTATATCTCCCATTGAAGTGTCAGATGTATGAATGTTTTGTTTCATTACAGCAAACCTAAGCTTTTCAATCACCAAAACTCACTGGTTCCATTCTCAACTGCCTCATCATATCTTGGTGTGAGTGGGGATGATCACCCGATCCACCCCATGGGCAATGAACCATCGGCCTACGTACAGCCCCAGGATACGCATAGTGGTCCACTGGTCTGCCTTCAAGTACGGCCCTCTAGCAAACGACACAGCGCTGTTGTTTCCCGTCGACGTCATCTTGAAGAGCGGGTGTCTCAACTGTATGCCTATCGCCGTCCGCAGCGTCACCTGCCTCATCTGCGGGGGGGTCATTCGGCGGCGCAGGATGTGGAACGCTGTGATGTTGTACAGTGTAGGGATGTTGCTGCTCTTATCGGGAATTCTCTTAGCAAGGGTTTAGGGTTGCAATGGTTTAGGGTTGTACCCCTTCTCTTAGCAAGGGTTTCGGGTTTAGGGTTGTAAAGGCGTGCAAGGCCTCAGCAGGCGCAGTACCAGGGAGAGCAGACTCACTAGCGCCTAGAGCAGAAGCCTCTATATCTGGGTCGGGCGGCACGCACAGGTATCAGTTACCCTCAGCACTAACAGTCAAGGCATACATGGCAGCAAGGATAGCATCATAGTCAAGAGCAAAGATATATCAACACCAGACCTAAACAGCTCTAGCCAGTGGGGGCGCTCAGCCTCGTCGCCAAACTCTGCGCGCCAAGTGTTGTCAAGGCGGGAGAAGCAGCGGTGCTGTGTGTGAAACTTCCCGCATGTCTGACCAGCACGATCATCTGTGCGAACGACATACGGGCAGCGAACACTACCCCCAGACGCCCCACGCTGAGCAAACCACTCATGAAGCTGCTGGGGCGTAGGGGTCTCGCTCGGACGCTGCTTGTGCTGCGTCTGGCCACCGCCAGAACCTCCCCTCTGAACAGCTCCACCCCAACCGCCACCACTGCCGCCGCCACCACTCCCACTACCGCCACCACTCCCACTGCCGCCACCACCGCCACCACCACTCCCACCGCTGCCACCACCGCCGCCACCGAAGCCCCCACTCCCGCCACCACTCCCACCGCCACCTCTGCCACCTCCACCGCCTCCACCGCCTCCACCACCACCACCCCCACTGCCACCTCCACCACTCTTGCCATCCTTGCCCTTGCCGTTGCGGCACTTCCCACTAAGAGCAGAAGCAGCACCGGCGTCCTCAGTACCAAGGATGTCAACAGCAGCAGCAAAAGCGTAGGAGGGGGCAAGGGGGGAGGGGGAACACCCCTCAAAGAAGGGTGTGCGAGGAGTGCCACGAGCACCACCTATAGCGACTACGCTAGTCTCAGTTGCAAGGAGGTGCTTCTCGAGCAGGTCGACAGTGAGGTCTGTGGGGTCAAGTGCGAGAAAGTGGTCCCTGACTGCGCGAAGAGAGTCAGGGAGGCGGGTGACTATGAAGTAGAGAGTGATGTACATCGGGGGCGGGTTCTTGTCTAGGAACTCGGCTTTGAGGGCAGCGCGATAGCGAGTGTCGCTAGTGCGAAGGTGGGTGATGAGGTCCTCGACTGTGGCAAAGGCTGACAGCTCGGGAAAAAGGTAGGGCAGTATAAGGCGACCGAGAGCAGCAGTGACAGGGGAAGAGAAACGAGTGACTACAGCATCGTACAGGGCTTTAGCAGTCTTGTGCTGGCCAAAGTGAGCGCGTTCGGCTAACGGCAGGTGGTTGCGAACGGCTAAGCGAGCAGCAGCGTCACGGGTAAGCCACTGTGAGCGAGTCGCACTGTCAGCTGTGACTGGAGGGGCGAGAGAGGCTCCAGACGTGTGGTCAAACAACGAAACGCTGTCTCTAGAATCGCTCAGTAGGTACACCTGTAAGTCGTTGAGCCACGTATCGAACTGGATCAGACGGCCCTCATGATCGAAGGTGAGAACGCTGAGAGAAGCCATAGCGGGCAGAGCAGGGTGGCGCGCGACCAGCAGGGCAGCACGTAGGCAGGACGGGGCGAGGCGACGCACGGCTAGGGAAGAGTGGCGCGCGGCCAGGGCAGGGCAGCGCAAATGGCAGGGCAGGGCGGCGGCCAGCAGGGCGGCGGCCAGCAGGGCGGCGCGCGGGCAGGGCAGGGCAGCGCGGCGGCCAGCAGGGTGGCGCGCGGGCAGCAGGGCGGCGCACGGGCAGGGCGGCGGCCAGCAGGGCGGCACGCAGCAGGGCGGCGGCCAGCAGGGCGGCACGCGGGCAGGGCAGGGCGACGCGCAGGCAGGGCAGGGCGGCGCGGCTGCCAGTACTGTGGTGCGCGGGCAGGGCAGGGCGACGCGCAGGCAGAACAGGGCGGCGCGGCGGCCAGCAGGTCGGCGTGCGGGCAGGGCAGGGCAACGCGGCGGCCAGCAGGGCGACACGACCGGCAGGGGAGGGCGGCGCGTAACCAACAGGGCGGCGTGATGGGCAAGGCAGGGCAGCGCGCGGCCAGCAAGGCGGCGCGACAGGCAGGGCAGGGCAGCGCGACTAGTGGGGCAGCGCTACGAGCAGGGAACTATGCGGTGGGCCCTAAAAAAAAAACGGTCCTGGAACAGGACCTGCTCTGAAACCATGTCAGAAAACTGAACGAGAATGAATGCATTGAGCAGAAAGTTGGTACAAGTACTAACCCTAATTGGGTTGTACCCCCACTACAGCCTAAACAATATAAGCGATATAACATTTTGATAGTTAGTTTCTTTCTACCATAGTTGTGTAGTGTCCTTGTTACAAGGCTAACTTCTATATTGGCGGTCTTCACTCTACCCGAGAATTGAGGCTTATAAAGGCCAAATGATCTAGGTTTATATCTCCCATTGAAGTGTTAGATGTATGAATGTTTTTGTTTCATTACAGCCAACCTAAGCTTTTCAATCACCAAAATTGACTGGTTCCATTCTCCTCAACTGCCTCATCATATCTTGGTGTGAGTGGGGATGATCACCCGATCCACCCCATGGGCAATGAACCATCGGCCTACGTACAGCCCCAGGATACGCATAGTGGTCCACTGGTCTGCCTTCAAGTACGGCCCTCTAGCAAATGACACAGCGCTGTTGTTTCCCATCGGCGTCATCTTGAAGAGCGGGTGTCTCAACTGTATGCCTATCGCCGTCCGCAGCGTCACCTGCCTCATCTGCGGGAGGGTCATTCGGCGGCGCAGGATGTGGAACGCTGTGATGTTGTACATTGTAGGGATGCTGCTGCTCTTAGCGGGAATTCTCTTCGCAAGGGCTTCTGCTTGCACATTGTTGGGGATGAGGATGGACGCGTCTCGCAGCGCCGAAAGGTCGTACATGGAGTTCACTGCAGGGGAAGGAGGCGAGGGAGGGAGCGGGTTGTCAGAATACTGAACGAGAATAAATGCATTGACAAGAAACTGAGTACAAGTACTAACCCTAATTGGTTTGTACCCCTTAAGGGCTACCCCACTACAGCCTACATAATATAAACAATATAAAAGTTTGACACACCCCTATAGGCAAAGTGGGGGAGAACAAGTGGTCACAAGACCAGTCAAGAAAAGCAAAGCAAGCTCAGGGTGGATCACAAAGTCACCACACACTCTGAGCACAAGCAAATGGCTGCAAGTCCAGTCCACATGTAGAGTTATATAAATGAGAACAAACAGTACAGTGATCATAACCTAGTAGGGGTAAGCATGCAGGTATATGTATATAGATCACAGTACAAGCAAAGTCAAGCAGTGAACAAGTGAGACAAAACATGCACAAGGCCTAAAACAGTACAGAAACGCTGATGATCACAAGGCTGAAGTGCCTTGGTGAATATATCAGCAGTGTTGGCCCGAGTGGCCACGTAAGAAATACGAAGCTGACCACGCTGCTGCAAATCTCGAGCAAGGAAGTAACG